CGGCCTGCCCGGTGGCGCCTTCTCGTCAGGCTGTTAACACCAAATCCCCTGGTCACCTGCTAAACTGGTGAGGGCTATGCAAAGCGACCCCTTTGCCTTTTTTTTTTTTTTTTAACAGAGTATAATTGGTTTATCGGTCTTCTTTAAAACTCGGAACTCAGGCTCACTGAAATTTGGTAACCGCTAACTATATCTCAAGAGGCATACTTTCAAAAAATTTAAAGTTAGAATTAACAAATGGAATTTTTCAGGCCATAAAAGCAGAAAAATATTTAAAAGCCTCCAATTTTTTTCCTGTAAAAGCAAATGAACAGCGTAGGTCTCCTCCAATTTCTGGCCTCCCCTCCCCCACACCCTCCCACTCCATGAGAGACGGGTGGGGCTCGGTCCTGCGGGATGGGCTGTGGCAGAGGCTGGTGCCAGATTCCCAGGAGAGCGAGGTGTCACTCTGAAGCCATTAAATTACTAAGGCTCGAAGGTGGAAGCCCTACGGGGAATTCTGACTCATCATGAAGAGTATTTAAGGCCTTGGCAGGACATCTTAGCACTCATTCAAAGAAAAATAATGAAGTTGCCTCACTGTTGGCCTGGCTGCAAACCCAGTGATTATCAGAAGGAGCCATAAACTTCTGCTAACAGATAAGTCTCCCCAGCGGGCCTGCCAGCAGCGCTGCCTCCGCTCGCCAGCGTCTTCTCTCCTGCGGCCTGGGCGCTTTCTCAGAAGCTGCTGGGCTGAAGGAACAGCTCGAACGGAAGCTCTCTGCTGCCAGAGACAGGAGCATCCCAACCCCGCCACACAGCCCGGTCGGGAAACTCGAGCCCTCCTCCACTCACCGCTAGCCCGGCCCGGGCACGCTCGTGACCGCCCCGGCCTCCCAGTGGGCCTTGCAGATGTGACTTGGGCTGTTTCCCTCAGAATAAAACAAGGTCCCGACAGACAGAGCCCAGCAGAGGCCTGGAGCCCGGCCTCCATGCAAAACAGACGCGAGAGGACGAAGGAAAGGGAAGCGCGCAGACAGGGAACCTGCGGTGTCCGGTGTCCGTTGTTCTCACTGGGCTTCAGGTTGACAGTGTGTCCTCTTAGCTCCGAGGGTAACAACCCCACGTGCGCCTGAGGCACCCACGGCGGCGGCGCCGGTGCAGGCAGCTGGGGATTTCATTTCCGTGGGACCTGCGGCGAGGGGAGGACTGAGCAGTACGACTTCAAGGAGCGTGAAGGAGCAAGGCAGCTCCCGGAGGGACCATAGCGCTCAAGTCTGTCACAGAGATGCCCTCCACCAACACAACCCGAACCTAATTTGGGGACAAAAACACCCGAGAACCTTTATGCCAGGGTTAGGGGTGAGGTCCGAATGGTGCAGGCGCACAAGGCCTGTCTCAAGAGCAACACGGCTGCTGCCCGTGCACGACTATGGTTTTGGGGGTGAATATTTAGCAGAGTGCAAATCGATCGGCTCCTTAAACTCGGCAGCCCTTAGGGAAAGCTGCCTCAAAATAACTGTTGGCAGAAATCACACATTTTTCACAAACCAAGGAAGACAGAGGGTGGAAAGTTCCACGGAGAATCAAGACCTCCTAAGCATTTAGGGAAGCGAACCAGGCTCATGTCACACGTCTACACTTCACCTCCCGGCGCTGGATCCGGTTCCGCTGTGGGCTCGGGGCTTTTCATAAGTGCTTCTCTGGAGAATCCGTTTCCACCGCATCTCCCGCTCTGGTCCTAGGCTGAGCAACCCCACTGACAGCACAGGGCTTCCCTTCCCTTACAGAGGGGGCCGGGTCCAGCGGGCCTTCCTGCTGGTCTCTCGAGGCCACTCCCAGGGCCAGAGGAGTTTTTACAAAAACAGCTGCCTGTGTCAGGGGAGGGGGTGAAACCCAGCGGGCATTTCTATCTTTGCCTTAGGGATTAGCAGATCCCTGGGGAGGGCGGCCTTGCTCTCCAGGGCAGGTGGGGGGGTCAGCGCATCCAGGGCTGCAGTGAGGCTCTGAAGTTCCTGACAACAGTGAGGTGCCCCACAGCTTCAGGTTCCCGCTGCAACTCTGGGTCCCCAATGCCAGCTCAGCTCGGGAACGTGTGCGGCCCTCCCCCTTGTGCAGCCCAAGCAGCTACCTTTGTCGTAAAATGACGCTTTACAGAATGCTGTGCCAGCTCGGACGCAGCCGCTTCTTATCGCACGTCCTGTGCGCAGACACGCTGTGTGTGGAGGACGCATGGCCAGCGCTGACGCCAGGGCGCAGAGCACACGCGCCCAGAGGCCACAGAAAGCGTCATCGCAGGCTGTGACCGCGTCCTCCTGTGCGGCTGGTACCTGGGAAGACACCATCACAAACTGGCAAGGCTTGTAATATGGCTTCACGTGAATTTGCTTTTGGAGAAGTGGGTGGAAAGGAGAAATTTTACCAAATATAGTACAGCCTTATCTATAAATAAGTGCAGGAAAGAAAAACATGTTTGGGATGCCTGAGTCAGCACATTTGCATGCCTTGATTATTTTGTTTGGGGTCTAATTATATCTTGTGCCCACGCCAGGGTTCGCCTAAGTTTCTGTGTACTCCCCGCCCCCCTCCCCGTCAATGCCCACGGGGAAAGATCAGCTCCGGATAAAGATTAGTGACGTATGTGTTCAAAACACCCACATGTGTGAGCACAAATGCGGATTTCTGGCAACTGTTTGAAGAGTACGTTTGTATCATGTTTTTGTTATAGAATTCCTAAGGAGAAATCTCAACACTAAAATGTCAAATCATACATGAGTTTGATGCTTTCAAAGAAATATTTTGAATACTATTTTCTCTGCTTTTAAAAATCAGTGATGTTTGGAGCCAATACTCCAAGAGTGGTTTTAACTCAAAGATAGAAATGACTTTGTTCAACATTTTATATTTTTGCTTCCTTTGTTCAATGTGGGGAGCCGGCACGGCCATGGCATACTCAGGCCCAGGGCGCCTTATGTGCCATGCCAGCTCAGCCTGGTTCAGTGACCCTGAGTGGGGGTGGGGGGTGAAAGGATTGAGAAAAGACAGACAAAAGAATGGAAGCTGGGTCTCGGTGGGACGTTGCTCCCTGATGAGGAGACAGCGCCAGCGCCCACAAGCCGTGTCTTTATTTTATAGCAGATGCCACAAGGCAAAGTAGGGGTGTGATCACGTTGTTTACAGCATTTCCGTGAGTTTCAACCCCACTCAACTACATGCACCTGAACTCTAGCACAAGGCACGTGGGGCCACGTGTTCGGACCACAGGTTCAAGCTCACAGCTATAGCCGTTGGCTATAATGGTGCTGGGAGGG